CGTGATTGGTGCTTATCTGTGTGAATATCTGAGCAGCTGTCTCTGAGTCGACCACCTGGTCAAGCCGGCTACGGGCAGATCAGATCTTGTCTTGCATTTCGTAAGCCGGCTGTGTACTTAGCGTGTCCCGTCATACTACAGGTCGTTCCGGTTGCGAACGTGACTTGGGGAACTTTTATTGGTCCGTGGTCACATTTTTATGTCATTGTCCGTCACGGTCGCCTTCATGTACCGTGCAGCATTGTAAAGGTGTTCCTTTTTTACCATACTTTATTGCACTTGCAATAATTCGGGTATTCTCTTTCTGCTGCAGTGCGAAGAAGTAAGTACTTCGGCGAAACTAATGGCAAAATACTTCGGTGAAATATTGCTCACATTCGTGAACTTCTTGGTTATGTTTTGATTTGCATGGCTACGAATATTTTGTGTCTAACCAGGACAGCTACCATAACCGTGAAATAGGACCGAAAGTCATGTTTCAGTTTCAGTTCAGTGTTTAGGTCTTTGAGCGAAAGCAATGTCCTATGTTTGCCTGACTGCAGGCACGCTGACCGCACGACGGGGCGATACCGGCTTTGCTTGCACTTTTTCATTTGGGAGATCGAACGAATTTTGTTACGCAGAATGCGTTTATTTTATGACAGCTGTCACCATGGATCGACCTTTGTACCTCTGTGCGTGTGCTGAACTGGTCCACATGTTTGACCCGCCACTCTAGAATCTGTTGTCTCTGGAAAAAAAATCATCAAAACTCGCTAAAAGCGCTAAAAAACCGTAGGTCTGTGTGAAAACGATACGCCAAAAAGCTCTGCTTCGGCCAGGCCCGACGCGTCCTTCAAGATCCGTTCCTGGTTCTCCTATCATCCATCAAGGTGTAATATTTCCCGAAACAGTTGCAAATAAAAAAGCTTTGATCATGCAAAGCTTCGTTTCTTTTCATGGTCTGAATTTGAGCTTACAAACCAAAGCAATTACACACGATCTCTCGAGCGAATAGTTCATGACTGTTCAGCTTAAGACCACCAGCGTCTCAGTGTTTTGAATGTGTGCCGGTTGTTCCGAGTGCTGACGAATGACCCATGCTTCCCATTTCCTGCGGCAGGCTATGTCCACTTGCGAGGTGAGAATCAAAATACTGATGGGGGGGGGGGGGGGCACTGGCCTGTCTGCTTCATCTGTTGCAACCAGCAATTTACCCGCCTAGCACCGTGCGGGTTTAGCTGCAGAGACAATAGTTCTCGTCTCTTCGACGTCTAGCTTTCTATATGAGACAAAGGGTGCATTTGTGTATGGGTATATTGCTTCACAAGTGTATTTTTTGGACCGTTAACAACTTTAGACGTATACGTACTTGCTCACCCACTTCCCTTTTCGTGATTCGTTCTCTCAAACGGACAGAAACAAAAAGCTGACAACGCGTAGACTCTACTGAAAGACGGGTATAACCGGTAACACTGATTGCTGGCAAAAAAATGCGCCGGCTCAGACTCCAATATACATTTTTAGACCACTGCATGTTAGACAGCAAAGTCACAATCTCTTCGCATAGCAGCGTTAAGCAAAACTGGTGGCCCCTGGGTGTTTCCGGTGCAGACACGGGTTTACACCATTTGTATGCAGAGCCGATTTCAGCTCTCCAGCTCTCGGCTAAGCACATTGCTGGAAGATGCATCCTGTTTTGGGCCTGCGAATGACTAGGCTATGATAGGGAGGATTTCTGCGTATTATGCACCACACTTTGGAAGATAGAGCTATCAGATATGACGTCACATCGTCCGTTACGTGCACGGAGTCGGGGTCACCGCCCGCGTTGACTTTGTTCGTGGAGATACGAATGTTAACATCAGCTGCGCGTGATGTGCATCTGTTATCGATAAGTTACGACATCGATGGAATGCAAAACGTAGTCAATACTTTTTCGTTCAGTAGCGACATAGCTATGGTACAAAGTCATGACACGTTGACGTCTGCGCGGTGTCGTGTACCGCTCGCTAGCCTTCTGCACGAGAACGTCAGAAAAGGCCGACTTCGTGCAGCTCGGCCAAACCCGCCCACTTCACCTTGATTTCAACGTGACCCGATGCACCCTGATGCAATGAGTAGGCCGGCGTGCCGCGCCCACACAGACGCCCCACTGTTCAACGAGCCGACACCAGCGACCGCCACCATTGAACAAACAGCCCGTGACTGATGCGCGATCATTCCGTCGCCTGACCCCCTCCCTCCCTCGTCTCATTTTACAGAGTCCTGCGATTCGATCAAGTGCGCGAATGCTGGCGAGCAGTGCGTTCTGGACCAAAACCGGCAGCCGCACTGCGTACGCTGCCTGCGCAAGTGCCACGACCGCAAGCCTAACCCCGTCTGCGGCGTCAACGGCGTCACCTACACCAGCCGCTGTCACGCTCGTCAGGCGGCCTGCCTGCTGGGCGAGGCCATCCCAACGGCCTATCGGGGCCCCTGCCGGCGTGAGTACCAGCGTCGACCGGGGTGGCCCGGAGCGTCGCCGGCCAGCCCCCAGCGACCGGGGCCGTTCGCTGGTCTGTTGGGGCGGGCGGCGTTCACGGTGCCCCGCATGGACCGGTTCCATTCATGACCAGCTGCCGTGGAGCGCGCCGAGCCGGTGCGGCCGGGGCTTGGGCGGCGGCGTGCCGGCCGTCTGGACCGTCTGGTGGTGGCGGCGTTCCGAGCCAAGCCGGGCGTGAGGGCACGCCGGCTGACCGGCCGGGCGCGGCCCTTCATCTGGCGACAAATCGGGGATGACACCGCCACAGCCGCGTACTTTCCCCGGGAAATCCGGATCGCCCTTGTGAGGGACGTCGCCGCAAGGGCGGCGGGCAACCTTGGGACCGAGTGTTGCCTCCCGCCGCGCGCCGTCCCGGAACACATGCACGTCATCTCGCTCCGCTGCACGGCGCGCGGCGCAGAAACGCGACCGGTTCAGCTGTTCAGAACGTGGATGCCGAGGAGTGCGCACCGGCCTATTCCGTGCGACATGACAGTGGTGTATTCAGTGCGACATGACACCGGCGTATGCCGCGCGATATGACAGCGGCGTATTCCGTTAGACATGCCAGCGGCGTATTCCATGCGCCATGACAGCAGCATATTCCGTGCGCATCACAGCGGCATATTCAGTGCGACATAACAGCGGCGTATTCCGTGCGACATGACAGCAGTGTATCCCGTGCGACATTACACCGGCGTGTTTCCTGCAACATTACACCGGCGTATTCCGTGCGACACGACGCCGGCGTATTCCGTGCGGCATATCCGCGACTTAGTCCGTGCGACGTGACAGCAACGTATTTCGTGCGACATTACGCCGGCGTATTTCCTGCGAAATGACATCGGCTTACCCCGTGCGACATTACACCGGCGTATTCCGCGCGACATTACACCGGCGTATTCCGTGCGACATGACACCGGCGTATTCCGTGTGACATGACAGCGGCGTATTCCGCGCGACATTACACCGGCGTATTCCGTGCGACATGACACCGGCGTATTCTGTGCGACATGACAGCGGCGCATTCCGTGCGACATGGCACCGGCGTATTCCGTGCGACATAACACCGGCGTATTCTGTGCGACATGACAGCGGCGCATTCCGTGCGACATGGCACCGGCGTATTCCGTGCGACATGACACCGGTGTATTCCGTGCGACATGACAGCGGCGTATTCCATGCGCCATGACAGCAGCTTATTCCGTGAGACATGACAGCGGCGTATTCCTGCGCGACGTGACACCGTATGCCACGACCAGGGCATATTCCGCGCGTGTCCAGATCGCCACGGACCCATTCAGAGACGGATTGCCAAGTGAAGTATTCATGTGATCGCTCCCATTGCTTCAAAGAATTTCCAAAGGTGTTCTGGTATTTCTGTCACGAAATGGAGTAACCTTTTGGACGCGCGTGAGGTCACGTCTTACGGCGTCGGATTGAGGGGTCGTTTTTGGCGCCCCCGGTTCGGACGCGACCATTGGAGATGGTGATTGATCTCGATCCGCCTCTGCCCCGTGCGACCTCAGTGTGGTCCCAATGTAGTGCGACTCTGGTGTGAGCCGAGCATGGCCCTGGTGTGTCTGTGTGATCCGAGACGGATCGCATCACCCGGGTGTCATTCCATGTGACATCGCCCTGACCCAAGAGGGTCACAACCTTGGCGTAATCCAACCATGATCCCGACACGGGCACGGCGTGACCCGCCGTAGCCCCGGCGTGACCCTGCTCCGACCTCTGTGATCCTTGTGACCGCAGCCGGCCTGACCTGCGAGAGGTTACGCTGCAAGTCAGGTCAACGTTGCCTGCTGAGCCCGGAGGGCGGCCGCCCGCGCTGCACCAGCTGTCGGCTGCGCTGCCGGCGCCAGGGCGGCACCAAACAGCTGCAGGTCTGCGGCTCCAACCACCTCACCTACCGCTCCTGGTGCCACATGATGAAGGACGCTTGCGCCACGGGCCTGGTCATCGACGTGCTGCACGCCGGCAGCTGCTACCCCCGGCGCTACGCGACGGACTCAGGTGAGGGCTGCAGGGTTCGGTGGCGGCGGCTGGGCTTCGGGTATGGCGGCGGCGGCGTGAAGTGGGGGGGGGGGGGGGGGGAAGTGTTCTGCTGATGCGGGGTTTGCTGGGCATCGGGAGTAATGTGTGTGTGTGGTGTGTGTGTGTGTGTGTGTGTGTGGTGTGTGTGTTGTGTGTGTGTGTGTGTGTGTGTGTGTGTGTGTGTGTGTGTGTGTGTGTGTGTGTGTGTGTGTGTGTGTGTGTGTGTGTGTGTGTGTGTGTGTGTGTGTGTGTGTGTGTTGTGTGTGTGTGTGTGTGTGTGTGTGTGTGTGTGTATGTGTGTGTGTGCGGGGGAAAAGAGGTCGTTTTCACAGGGCCCTGCCTCGGTGTTCTGGGCCCCGTCTGATCTGTCGTTAGCACCATTGTCAACCGGAATGCGTGACGTCATGCGTGCTGACGTCACGTTCGATGTGAAGGCCGACCGAAAAGTTTGTCATATTTACCTTCTTTATTTCATATCCCTTTTAACTACTTCAGACCTCACACTAACGCTAGCGTACCGCCTACCATCCACGCACTACCTATAAAGTGGTGCACAGAAGTGCGCCCCCTGCTCCGGTATTGCCATATCTATCCCACCTGCAAGCTGAGTGTTTCTTCCCATCCAATCTCATTAAGACTTCTTGCATTCCGATTTGGATTGTTCACGCGTTCTGTTTTTGTAAAAGATCTATTGATCCTTCGCTGCTACTTATGCTGACATAAAGCCCATTTTTTAATGAACTTCGAATTGTTCAGACAAAGGCCGAGTTCGAGACACGAGGCGCGTCGTTCCTATTTTCCAACCTTTACGATTACTGTAGAGCTCTTAGTTTATTGATGAAGGCAACTAAATGCCACGCCAATCACTGTTACTCACCTTTTCATGGCTTCTTTTGGCAGTCCAATGTTCTTCGTATTTATCCTGCTTCGCATTTACCCGAGATTTATTTAATCTGGCGGCGCTTTCTCTCTAAATATGCTGACGAGCTGACAAAAAGTCCTGTCAGCATCGTCAGCCGTTGCGTGACGTCACAAACCATGTGACTGTGGGCACGTAACGCGACATAGAGAGAATACTGGGCTGTGATTGGTGCTGACAAACGTGCTGACGACAGATCAAACGCGGCCCTGGCGTTCGCCCTTGTGTGGTTTTAATAGCAGACTGCGTGGCATTGCCGGGAAGCACTTGGAGAAGAGGAAGATAAACCTGAAGCCTATTCCAGGGACATCATTTTATCATGACCACTATCAGAAGGTTATCTGTGAATCGCAAGTGGAAAATGGCGACAGATTGGGGACTTTGAACATCCACGCAATGTCGCACATTCAACGTAAACAATTGTAAACTTAAGCACACGTAAACATTCCGCTAGAAGCACGGCAATAAGCAAGGTGCAGACGCGGGATCGATTTACTCGCAAGCGTCATCGAACCTTGTAGGATCGCAACAGGTTATAACACAGGGCATGACCAGACAAAAAAAGACCCTGGTACCGTGGTCACGGGGCCATCCGGGTTTCCAGATCGTTTTGGCACAGCTTCGTGATGGGAATGACTTGGTCGCGGTTGGGGCGTGTAACCCGGCCACCTCGGGGGCTTCCGTCAGGAGTTTGGCGGACGCTAGTCCCGTCGAAATGTTTGCGTATTCTAGTTGTTTAAACAAGGCAGTGCGGTTTTGCGGAAAGCCTCGCACGCACTTCCCGTCCTCCAGTATGTCCCGTAGCGGCGGAACTGGCGCATAAAACGCTGCTCCCTCCTCCGAACGTACATCATGCACCATCTACTTCACCATGCGATGGATTTGACGATATGCAATGAATATCATATATGATACGACAGCACTCACACCGATGCCAGTTGCAATTGCCCTTATTCCAAGGTTTTTGGGCCTTGATGAACGCCTGTATTTTCGAGCTTAGCACCGCCAATGTTTCTCAGTATTATCCACTCGCTGGTATGTGTCGCTAGGGCTTTACGACTCACTCAGCTGCTGATTTTATCTGGCGTCGCCTGCCGCTCACCGCGACAGAAAGGGCGGGATCCACCCACTACAGCACGCCTAACCAGCACTTCTGCAATCGCTGGGCTGGGCGTGCTCCGCCCGGCCTCCCCTGGCCGGCCCCACAGGCGGTGATGTCGGAGTGGCGACCGTCCCCGAGCGGCCCGGCCCCGTCTCGCACTGACCCGGCCGCTCTCGTCCGCAGCCGGCCACAACGCGACGGCGCCGTTCGCCGACTTCCCGTTCCTGCTGTCGCACCAGCTGGACTGAAAGGGGCTGTCCCAGCCAGCCCTGGCTGGTTGCGCGCGGACGCACGGAACGCCGGCCGACGCCCCCTCCCCTCAGTCCTCCCGCCTCTCCGTGACGTCAGAGCGCCGGCACGTGCAGGGCGCGCCATGGGCCGCATATGGCAGCACCGGGGCCGGTCGCCGTGCGGCGGTGACGGCGCAAAAAGACGCAATAAAGCGCGGCCGCAGGCGCCGGGCGGAGCCGGTCGGCCTGCCGGCCGGCCGGGCGCCACCTGGCGAGGCGACGCCGCCGGCCGCGAAGGGGGCGGCCGCGCGCCGGGCCCACGCACCGAACAGGCGTGCTGTTAATGTACCTGATGGGGTTCGGCGGTAGCGGCGGCAGCGGGTGCCCTGGAATGCAGCGGCTCCGCCGGCGGGCGCGGCGCTGTGCTATCAGAGACAGGTGCACCGCGGAGGGGCGTCAGCGCCGGGGCCCGCGCCGTCACGAGGCGGTGACGTCATGCTGCTGTAGCGTGGAAGCTGTGGGCGGCGGTAGATGGCGAGGGACGTAAGCTGTCTCTCTGATGTGGTCTACCTCAGCGGTGGAGTGTGGTTTGTATGTGTACATACGTCGATGTGTCGGGATGTGCGTTTCCTTCCACCCAGCAGCCGGGATGGCGTCTGCCAAAAGGGACGACGTTCTGCATTGTTCTGTGACACTGATGTTGCGTGCACCCTCTGAAAGTCACGCGGCTTTGCTAGCAACGTGCAAGATGGCGAGTTGCCGGAGAGTGCCGGGAATCCACTACGGCCTGGCGATGGCCGGGGCCGAGCAAGACCTCGACGCCTTTCTCGCCGTGCGATCCGTGCTTTGTGCTCCGCGCAGTGTATTGTGCGTATGTACATAATTATAGCGTTGGCGAACTTCGCCAATACATGCCGTCTCCACACTTGTGGCGAATACAAGAAAGCGTGCATGTATGCTCATTATGGCCTTTCTCTACGGCGAGCAGCACACTGATGCGCCACTGGGGCACTACGCAATAGTGCCGTTTTATTCGGCCAGAAGGCTATTATTTTCTCCGAGCGCACGAGACCCTGACGACAAGAATTATTACGTCGCAAAACGCAATGATTCTTCTTATAACGAAAGAAATCATTCGGCGCAATGTTTGTATACGAAGCCAACATCAACACATTAACAGTGCTGACACCATGTTGATGCAATGTTGATGCAATGTTGATTCAACGCCGTGTACAAGCCATATGCAACGAGCGTTCGGATTACAGCTGCGAACCCCAGGACCTCTTACGCTACAGTCACCGCGCTGCGGGCTGGAGCCGCCTCCCGACAGGGCCACTCTGAGCGAGTACCTCGAAACAAGGATGTCACCAGGGGTCACAGAGGGCGCGCCCCCTCCTGCTGCCACCACCCCACCCCACCCCAACCCCGAGCCGAGAGGATTGTGCTAGATTCTGGACTATCTCGCAGGAACTCCTCCCAAACTCGTGGAAGTTCCAAGAAAATATAGCATTCTCCCCCCCCCCCCATCGAGAAAATTCTGGATACGTGCCTGCTCCGAACCGCTGCTCGGGCGGACTGATCCCATTCATTTGGCGTCGTGGTCGGCGTGTCTGCTGAGCGATGGACACCACCGAAGCAGCAGGCAGACGGTACACCGCACCCCGGCCTCAACAGGTCACACGTGCATAATGAAGAGGTTGCCGACAGGTGCATGGCGCGGAGAGGAAGTCCTGGCTGGCCTTCGCCGACCTGATCAGCTGCGATTGATGTCCGCATGTAAAGTGTGTTGGAAAGGCCGGCGGCAACAAACAACTACGCTAGCCCAGGGTGTACATAATTTTCTACACAGAGGTGACGATCGGGGCTCGTGATTTTCATGCTCGTCGGTCTACAAGACGTGGTGAGTTCCCGTTCATGCAAATGTGGACACTGCACCTCCCGGTGGCCCAGTTGGTTAGAATACCTGTCTTCCAATGCACTCACCCGTGGCGGGGTGGGGGCGAGTTGGTTTAGGTGCTCGCTGTTTTCACCTGGCTAGGATGTCCTGCTGACAGTGACAGTGCCCTCGCTTCACATCAGTGGAGGTCAGCGACCAGGACTGGCGCAATGATGTAGCACGTCGAGCTTCCATCGATAAAAACGCCGCCGTTGACCCGGAATTTCGCGATCGGCTGTGTATATGTGGGGGACGGGGAGGGGAACAATCCACACGGCAAGCACTGCCTAGTGTGGACGATTATTCTGGAAATCAGTATAATCAAAAGGTTTTGACTATCCGTCATTGGGGCTTTACGAATCACTCAGCTGCTGTGGCTGCATGGCTTCGCCTGCCTTCCATCCCGGCAGGAAGTGCGGGCACCGCGAGGAGTCGAGCCACGCGCCCCTGGTTGACCGGATACGCAGCTTAACCACATTACTATCGGCATGCCAAGGTTTGAACTAAATGTTAACAAACACATACCTAGATTTGTAAGCACGTGCCTGCAACTACCTATGAAATGTATAGTATATATACCTATCTACAACGATTACTTGCCTGCTTGCGCTACGCAGACGCGAGTGTCATCAAAAACACATCCAGAATTTTGTGTTGCCGAGATACGAGGACACATGGAAACAAATATAATGCCAGAAATTATTCCCAGCCTGCAGCCGGCCCGCAGCAATCAAAGCTGTACTACTTTTCTCACAAGAGATCCTAGAGGTGAAGCTTAGTACAGTTGTTTGGTGATACACACATGACACTTTTTTGTAAACGTTAACGCACATTCGTCTTCTGTGTTAAGGAAAAAGCCCGCTGTAAGTTAACACAGCTTATCTCGATATATTCCAATCGTTCCATGACGAACAGCTGACGAGGTCGCACCTTACAGCTTTATGCAATTTGTCCGGAAACAACCATTTCCAACGAACTTAGACTGCGGTATGCTATTCATTTAGGACCAAGGAAACGGTTTTGCAAGGTTGGTTTAACGTGATATTCAAAGCCAAACAACAATAGCAATGTAACTATAGCTGGAGGACAGTAGCCAGAGCCGTGACTGCCTCTGGAGCAGATCCTAGCTGGGGGACAGTGGCCAGAGTGGCTGCTTCTGGAGCAGCTCCCAGCTGGAGGACGGTGGCCAGAGTGGCTGCCTCTGCAGCAGCTCCTAGCTGGAGGACAGTGGCCGAATCGAATAGCAGCCGCTGGCCGCTGCTGAGATCTGTCAGCAAGTCTTTCTCTGGGCCCTATGCGAATCCTTCTGCCACCTGAAAGATCACTGTAGGTCGTGTTTCGACCGGCGCTGACAGTGCCTTGCTAAGAGGGCATGTGCACGAGTGCGCACCACTGCTGACGCCGTTGCATAACTTGAAACCTTCTCAAGGGTCGAGCTCATTTGCGCGTAGCTGATGCACAAACCGAAGGACCGGTCGCTGTTGACTCACTTCAGGTAGGCCCAACATCCTTCCATGCATGTCCATATTTGTCCGCGCACTATCCCAGCCCAGTGCATCGCTGTCTGTGCAATGTTCTCGTTGCACGTGACGATCAGTTCAACAAGGTGACCAACCACCTCACCTATTTGTGAAGTGCGGTGCGTGATGTGCTCTGACCCTGGTCCCCATAATACCATCACATGCCTTGGCGCTCGTGTTGAGTTCTGAAATAAAGGCCGCGTCAACGATTTCAGTTACAATTTTGTATTAACTACGTGCGTTCCGATGCGCGTGTTCTGCGTCAAGCATCGTTCTTGCACGCTCAGTGACACCTTATTGCCGTGCTGCGTGCATAGCTCGCCATATTTTCTCGGGATCAATCACAAAACGTTTGTCATCTTGCGAAACACACTCAGTGTTCGCCTAGAAGTCATCACAACTTGCAATAGCCGACCGGTTGAACCACGCACAGCGGTCAGCCGCGAGGGCAGTTTGGGCCAGGCCATTAGCGTTTGTTCGCGAGGACCGGCCGCTCACAAGGATGGATACTGACGAGTTTGAAGACAGGACTCGCTGGGTGGTGGAGGGGGGGGGGGGGGGGGAGGTAGGTGCCGCCGGTGCTGATTTCCGATGAACCCCGCTACCTCTTTCTTTCCCCAGCTGGCACACTGAAAGCCAGCAGTGAGAGCGTCGAACGGCGCTCCCTTCCCTCGCTCCAGCTGGCGGACGGATAGCACTGGCTAAAAGCAAACAATGGCAATTACAGCTGTCTGCAGTGCTGGCGTTGGTACACACGAAGTCCACCCGTCGCCCTGCGCCTCTGAACTTTGGACCCATTGCGCTGGAGAGTAAGCTGGCAACGCACGGCCAGATGCGCTTTAACTGCGAATGAAGTCTCTCCAAAGTCAACGCGTTTGACCGCCGGAGGGTTCATGTGTCCAGTAAGAACAGAAACATTTCTTGTTTTTTTGTTTTGTATTATAGACCTTTTGGCCAGAAATGACCATTTCAGGGCTATGGGATGAAAGAAAATTGTTTACGGTGGGGCAGCCTAGCATGGGCGTGGAGGGCCAACCGCCGAGCTCTAAGCCGCGCATGTGCGCTGTGTGCCCGGTCGGGGTCCCCCTTCCCACGAGGCTCTCGGCCCACTCATGGCTGACACATGCAGCCTGCCCCGGACAGGCGGCGGGTCGCGAAGATGCAGGAAGAAGCAAGGCAGGGGATAAGGGGGACAGATGAGCAGAGACATTTAGACAGTCGATGCCAATTGGCGGCTTCCGACTACGACACTCCGACACAAATATTGTTCGCCGCAGCAAAGGTAAGAAGGAAAGTAAAGACTTACAGCACAGGCTTTTCAAAATTACTGTCAGAGCTTTAGGCATCAGGTCTCCCAAATCAACACATAGCACTAGTTGTACCCATTTTAGAGCACGGAAACTCAATCACATGAGTAGTTCACACTTATCCGCGTGGCGGTGCTGCTGTCACCTATGTTAAGCAAACATCACGATTTGGATCGGCAGGGCTTGCTGGAAGCTGTGCTTAAGTGAAACATATTTCTGTCATGGCTGTTCTTATACTTGGCCCGGTAAAATACGGCGTGTTATTTTGGTTCCTCAATAA